ATTTGTTTGAACTCGCCATGGTTTTTTGGGATTTTTGTAAGTCAAAATTTGAAAATTGCTAACTTAAAGGCTTCCACATAAAATAATAGTTTATCATTCAGACCATGGAAGCTGCATTTTCTTTTTAAGTCAGCTGATATTTGTTCCTTCTCTTTCCTTTTCTGCTTCTAGGACTGGATTGTGCAGTTTGATCCTCCTGATGAACCTAAGGTACTCATTTTTTGGCTAGCATGTTTCAGTTAAGAGCTCAATGTTCTTGTTCATGCATACTTAGTAACATGTGCCCTGAAATTACTGCTTTCAGGAATACATTCACAGGGTTGGTCGAACAGCCCGGGGGGAGGGTGCAAAAGGCAATGCCTTGCTTTTCCTGATTCCGGAAGAGCTGCAATTTTTGCGCTATCTGAATGTATATAGCAAATTCATCATGGCTGCTTATCTTACACATCCCCAATTCTTTTGTTTTATGAAGAGGGCACCACCTTGATGCAATAAATAGTTGGTTTCATTTCATCACGCAGTAGAATGTGCAGCATTAGGGTTTTGAAAAGCAAGAATACTTGAAATCTGCTGTCTATCAGACTGAAAAGGAGAATGTTTATAAAGAATAAAGGTTGCTTTTGTAATTGCCTTTTGTGTACTCTAAAACTTGTTTTCTTTCTTATAGGCAGCGAAAGTCCCTGTCAAAGAGTATGAATTTGATCAGAAGAAGCTGGCAAATGTTCAATCACATCTGGTACTTTCCTACTTGCTCGCTGTTGTTTGTTTCATCCAAGTAACTAAAGTTATGATGAACTTAAAGAGAACTACTGGATTGTTTCAGGAGAAGTTGGTGGCCAACAACTACTATTTGAACCAGTCAGCTAAAGATGCATATAGATCTTACATATTGGCCTATAATTCACATTCTATGAAGGACATCTTTAATGTCCACCGACTAGATCTGCAGGTACCGTTCTTGTTGCTTGCATTCTATAAGGAATGATTTTATTTATTTTTTGAGCAATGAAATGGCTAATATTGGATATATGTAGGCTGTTGCTGCGTCATTTTGCTTTTCTTCGCCACCAAAGATGAATCTGAATATGGACAGCAGTGCTTCCAAGTTTAGGAAGAAAGCAAATCAAGGAAGCCGAAATGGTTTCAGTGAGAGCAATCCGTATGGAAGGCAGAGTGATGGAGATGAAAAGCGACAATTTGTAAGGTATTAGCCAAGATCAATATCATCATGTGACAAATTTTGGTGGAGCGAAATGTAATATCAGCAATCTTATGATTTTATTTATTGACTTGCGGCCTCGCCCAAAAGTTTTGCTTAAATGTTCTATTTCTGCTTCCATTTAATGCAACTGTAATGGTGAAGGAATACTTGTATCAATTCAGAGCTCTGCAGTCAGATTTTTTGTAATCTTTTACGGTAGGTCAGATTGCCACACCAGTGTGGTCGAGGTCGAATCCCTTCGCGGGCCATCTTCTAAACACTTCCTCTGGCCACCATTGCGACGTTACTAACCATCTATAACACATGGTTTTAAAACCCGGCCCGGCCCGGCGGGTTGACCCGGGACCCTGCCGACCCGGGGCTGGAACCGGGCCGGGTTGATGAAAAAATCAGGTAAGCCGTGACCCGGCGGGTTGACCCGGACGACCCGGTCAAAAACCCGGTGGTAACCCGTTGACTTTTATTCATTTTTTTATTAAAACGACGTCGTTTTGAATTTTTTTTAAAATAGAAATTGACCCGGCCGACCCGGTCAAAACCCGGTGACCCGGTCAAAACCCGGAACCCGGGCCTTGGACCGGGTCAGCCACCGGGCCGGGTTTAAAAACTATGCTATAACAATCCAGTTGATATCATACATGCCTTAATTTACAGAAAAAAGCATGATCCACAGACAATTTAAGCGCGATGAAATCGACTACATATTTTGGATATCAAGCCATTTTGGCTGAATTGGAGCGGTGTTAGGTCATGATTATTTCTTGAAAAGTAATTTTTAAAAATTATTTTTTATTTTTTTTATATTTATTTGTTATTAGAAAAATTAATTAATGATTTTTTTAATTAATGGAAAGCATTTTTTAATCAACGAAAAATATTTTTCAATTAAAAAAAATTAGCTCGGTTTTTAGAAAACTATTTTTTTTTTAACTGTTTGTTTTTCAGAAAGTGATTTTTGGAAAATTAATTTCTAAATTTTCTTGTATTTGTTTGCTGTTAGGAAAGTTGATCAACAAAAAATACTTTTTAATTAAAGAAAAATTTGACTTGATTTTCAGGAAAGTGTTTACCTGAAAAATTTGGACGGAAAATACTTTCCGAAAATTATAAAAAATTTAGAAATGTCATTATTTGCTAATTATATCAAATTTTATCCTCAACTTTTGATAGTTATATATATTTTATTTTGAATATTTATTTTTCAATTTTATTTCTTAAAATTTAATTTTTATATTAACTTTGGTTCTTATTTTTATAATTGTTATTTACTATTCTCCTATTATTATTTTATTAAAAATTTTTATTTATCAAATTTGATCCTTATTCTTTTGATTTACTTATTTTATTTGAAATATTTTATGAAATGTTAATTATTATTATTTTAATTTCTTCATCTTTTTTTTTAGATTTGATTTTTATTATTTTGATTATTATTTATTTATTTTATTTGAGATAATTTATGAATTTTTTTTTTAATTTTTTTTCATTTAACTTTTAATTTGTAAGATTTATTTTTTATTATTTTAATAAACTTGAGAAAAATAAAACATTAATAAATTATTTTTCAGTTTATTTTTTATAACATAATCAAATATTGAAAAATATTTTCTAATTTATTTTTAAAAAATTATATTTTAAAAATAAATAATTTTTTTACAAACAAACCGAACTTGAGTAACCAGTCTTGGTTGCTACTAGCGTCCGGTGTCAGGTCTCAGGAAGCATGCACATGGCGCGGCTGATTGATTGTCAAGTAATAGGTGGGTAGGTGCTTGGGAAAGTTTCGGCAAAGCTATCTATTTACAGCAGAAAGAACATGCAGGTTCTCTTTCTTAAAGAAGGAACAACAAATTAATGGGAAAGAAATCAACGAAATACTTGAATTCACCGGAAAGAAAAAGGGAAAAAAACAAACCAAAGCGCCAAGTGGAGAAATGCAGTTGAATCATGATTGATTTCGACCTTCGATAGCCATATAATCTGCGTAGAAGCGAGGATGGTTCTCTTCAGGATGCGTAGCATAGGCATAGCCTCCATGGCTAGAGATATCAAGGCCTGCTACTTCTTCATCAATTGATATTCTCAACATCTTAAGCTTATCAAGTGCAAAGAAAACGGGTCCCATTGTTATGCTAACCCAGGCTACTATTGCCAACAACTCAACCACTTGGCATCCGATCAGACCCCATCCACCGCCCAATAAAAGGCCATAGGGTCTCACCACTCCTGCCTCACCTGAATTATAAACTTGGATCACAAATTCCTTTTTGGCAAACAATCCAGTGAATATCAAACCCCAAGCACCACACCCACCATGCAGCTGAGTTGCCTCTAATGGGTCATCAAATTGCAGCTTTAGAGTCAAGACGTTTAGCCCAATCAAGACCCAGGCTGCACAAAAACCACATACGATCGCGGCCCATGGCTCCACAACAGAACATCCTGAAGTAATGGCCACAAAACCACCAAGCAATCCATTGCAAGCATCTAATGCATCCCAATGGCCTGCTAGTAATCGCCGGCCAAATAGGGTTGTGAGTCCGGCAGTCGAACCAGCCAGTGTAGTTGTTACTGCAGTCCGGCCAATACCGGTCCAGTTCCCTTGATCGGTTGTATTGGGGTAGGCCACAAGAATCTTACCAAATGAACCAGGATTGAACCCAAACCAGCCAAACCACAACAAGAACGTACCAAGCACCACAAGAGTTGCATTGTGCCCACGCATAGGCACGGGCTTGCCAAATGCATCAAACCTGCCCACTCGAGGACCTTGTATGAAAGAGCCCCAAAGTCCAGCAATCCCTCCCACCAAATGAACCACGCCACTGCCAGCAAAGTCAATCGCACCGGAGCCGAACAACGTATCTGAACTAGGAGACAGCCAACCATTTGATGACCAAACCCAGTGAACCACAATTGGGTACACAAATCCAGAAAGGAAAAATGAGAAAACAAGATAAGCACTGAACTGGGTTCTTTCGGCTATCGAGCCACTGGTAATTCCGGCAACCGCTATAGCAAAAGCCCATTGGTAAAGAAAGTAACTATAGTCATAAGAGGTGTTGGGAATATCTTTGAGAGCAAAGAAGGTTGTACCTATGAAAGGGTTAGAATTGGTGCCATCACCAAATGCAAAAGCAAAGCCGAAGAGGTAATAAGAGATGCTCCCAACAACAGCATCAACAACATTTGTAAGCATAATGTTCATGGCATTCTTGGCCCTGACTGAGCCAGCACATAGCATGGCAAAGCCAAGTTGCATCACAAAGACCAGGTAAGCTGAGAAGAGCAAGTAAATGGTATTGATAGAGTCTGTAACACTTCGTTCCCATGAGACCTCCATTAGTATCGTAGGAGAGAGGGTTGGTTGTTGCAAGCGGGAGATGGGAGATACGGACTGGTTTGCTACAACTTGCTATTGTGTATAGATAGTACGTTGAATGGTAGGTGCTCCTGAGGCCAGTTACTTATTTCGATTTCTTGTTATTTTTTGGTAGGACCATCTAGATGAGATTGTTGACTGGCTGCTCGTTCTCCTTCAAAGACTCGTCTACGGAATGGATAGGCCTAAAACTTGGTCGTTTTAACTTTTGATTCAGCTATATGGATGTTGAATACCATGAGAAAACGCAAACCCGTTGATGGTGGAAATTGAAGCGGGCGATATAATATGATGCTCTATTTCCGTAACACAAGCTATTTTGGTAGCTCGCCATCACCTCGGTTGTTAATACTACTTGACAAGGCTAAACCACTGGCAATTTTTCCAACAGCAACCCAGTATAAAATGGCTACGAGGCCTCTTATTTCTGTGGTTCTCTCAAGAACAAGATGCAAGGTGCACAATCCCCACTCTTGAGAATCTGACAATCAGATTAACTACTGCATACCTGATAATACAAACACCACTTGCACATGTAACTAGGAACAGTACTAGTATTCATTGTAACAAATAGCAATTTGCAAATTACATTAACTATTTACAGACACGGTAATTGTAGTATATTTGTATTTAAATTCATATCTAAACTGGTGGTTTTGTCAGGAATCAATAGGCTTTCTGGTAGTTACCAAGACCCCCCACTGGAATTCGGCTAGTGAGTGAAGGTCGCATTGTAACAATAGCTGATTCATTTGCTCCAGCTCTTAGAGCAGCCCTGCCGGCTTCAAGGAACCTCCTAACTGCATCCTCGGCATATCTGTTGGCTTCACCCACTGTCATGCTTTTGCCAATATCTGGGTAAGCATTCAGTACATAATCACCATTGAGCTGTGATGCAAGCTGGATCATCTCAACCTGGAATTCTGAGAGGCTTGCATCTTCTTTTGGTCCCCATGGCCTCATTAATGTTGTCACCTCTGGCAGGGTTTCTGTATACAGATTTCATGATGAATTTCAAATCATATGGTGGGGGACAACATATCAATATTTCTAAATAATGTTTGGTCAGAAGAGATTTATGTATGAACCAACAGTTCCTGCAATGCCATAGTAGATGTGTGAACATGTATCATACACGACATCCATGGACCATCTAAAGGAAAGCTACCTGATTCACATGGACTGAAACAAAAAATAGGGTCTCCTCACTCTTGACTGGCTTCTACATCTAAATTTCCAGATGCAGATAACTTAAAGGCTTAAATCTTGTCTCCGATCTCCATTATGGCTATAGACATACACGTTCAAAGGAAGACCGTAAAAAGAAGAAGAAAACATCGGACAAACTAATTATGTCTTCCAGCTCTTCTACCAGCAAAGAGACTGACAAGAAAATACCAATAAAGGTCTGGCACGTTGCCACAAAAATCAGCACCCAGGGCATAACATGCAGAAGACTCTACGGGCTCCCACTTTTTGCACAGATTTAAGTCTCTGTCAGTTAGAAAAATATTACCTATGGATTTGAAGGCAGGTAACCTATTGGCGGATGCAATAAATTTTTCAAAGATTCAAGTCTCTGTCAGTTAGAAAAATGTTAACTACGAATTTGAAGGCAGGCAACCAATTGGCGGATGCAATAAAATCTATCTCGGGACAAGAAGGTGATCCCATTAAAGGTTGAAATTGTAGGTAAATCAAACAAGAGCATTATAGGACGAAATCAAATATAAATACCACCCAATTAAACAGGGGTCCCTTTGCACGACCATATCCTACTTTAATCCTCAAGCAATCAACAAAGTTTAGTAACATTTCATAAACTACAAGAAAAGGTAACTTAGTTGTTCAAAAGAAAAGCTAAACATAATTTATGGTTGATGATCAGGATATTGATGCCAAACCTGGACAATCATCACGAGGAGTGTCACGTAGGTAAAAGTAATTCTCAAAACTACCAGCCCATGCATCCCTCCTTGTCAAGAAATTCGATTTCAAGTTAAAGAGCTTCTTCACCGTTGCAGGGATTGAAGAGTGCTCAAATTGAGAAGATGGTCTTGGCCCAGCTGGCTCATGTATCACTGCAGTGCAACACACATCCACAATCATTTCCTAATCAATCCACTTCCACACCACCCCCTCCTATTTACTTGTCCAAAAACGTTTTCTACACAGCGTGATCCTTAAGCAACCAAATAAACACTTACAAAACAACAAAGATTCAAACACTTACCAGTACCCTTGTCAATCCAAGGAGAGATCAAAAGAGTAGGAACCCGAACACCCAACCGGTTAAACTGGAAATAATACGGGTCACGTCCAACAATCCCATCAGGATTCGGCACCCCGCGCACGGGTGTAGGCACGTGATCATAAAACCCGCCATGTTCATCATAAGTAATCAAAAGCGCCATTTCTTTCCACTGCGGACTACTCCTCAGTGTCTCGTACACCTCCTTCACAAACCTCTGTCCTCTTGCCATGTCATGTGATGGGTGATCATCATTGGCTGGAAATAACTCCACATCGAAATACCTCTGCTCAACCACCACATAATTAGGTAACTTCCCTAGCTTCGCGTGCAATTTGAACTTCAATTCGTAGCTGTGAAACTTCATTGCGTGCTTTAATTTCCTCAACGACTTTAAGAAAAGGGTCGCGGGGATGTTTTGGTAATAAACTCCAAAACTGAGGCCGTTCTCGTCAAGTGAGTCGAAGATCGTTTTTTGAGGGAATCCATGGATGAGGTCTTTCCGCACGTTACTCATGGCTCCGTGTGAGGTTGCGGAGTGAACATAGAGCCGGTTCGGCTGAGTTGACGCGGGAACCGACGCGAACCACCGGTCAAAAACGGCGAACTCGTTCGCTAACTCGGTGTACACCGGTACCCGACTCGGTTTGAAGCCGCTCATGACGATTTTCGACATGGTTTCACTCATGCTCTTCGCTTGTTGCGCGAACCCGCTCATTGGAGCCGGGTCAGCGAGGCTATCGTTTGAACCGAATATCTGTTCTCTGATAGCTTGGAATGAGTGGCCAGGGTCCGAGTCGATGAACAACGCGTCGTCGGAGACGAAGATTTCATCGGCGTTGGGGTTCGAGACAGATATTCGATTCGATTCGGATCCAGTCAAGCCGTCGATGTCGGGTCGGGTTGATTTCAGCCAGCCGAGGACGTGATCGAAAGAGCGATTCTCCATGACCAGAATCACTAGGGTTTTGATGGGACCTTTGATTTTGGATTTGTGCTTTTTGTGTAAATTATCAAAGTCCAGGGACTGAGAGGAAATTACCAAATATAGAAAGAACAAAATGGCGATCGGGAGTCGACGACACGTCATTTCCGGTGACCGAGAACTGGGAAATTGCAGTGCTTCGTTTGGGAAGGGAAAGGGTGGTATAATAGTGGAGCAGCCGACGACAGGAGAGTAAAGTGCTATATGATTTATTTATAAATAAATGTGGAAGCAGAGGAGGGTATGTATCTTGGAAGGAGTGTTAAAATGCTTGACTTGACTTTTATTTATAATTATTATCAGGAAGACGGGATTTAATTAACTTAAATTGAAGTAAAGTGGGTGTTTATGTGGTGCCGGGTTTTCTAAATTTAAACTCATGACGACGATAACAAAGCCTAGCCCTCTTTACTTTCTTTTCGCGACGTGACACTGCGATAGAGATTGAACATCGTAGAGGAAGAGATATCACAGGATTTTTTGGGGTGGTGGAGCGGCACATATTGTACTCAAATCATGAAAGGATGGTTTCATATTCCAATAATTGAAGTAAAAACATTGATTTCGTCAGTTTTTTTAATAATTCATGGGAAATAAACAAATTGATTTTGTTTTCCGTGAATAGTTCTCAAGGTCTGAACGTTCGGTTTACGAGTCAGGCCGTCATGATCCTTGCTTCTTGTAAAGATCAAGCTTGCTGCCCTGGTAAAAAGCAATGGAAATGCAAGAATTGCAGTTTATTCACGTATTGCTCAGCTTAGCCCTCAAGTAATTGCTCTGTGATGCGTTCGAGACAAGAATATTATTCTGAGCTTAGCGCTCAAGTGATTGCTTTGCTTGCTAACTCCCAAAGCGGGCAGGCAGGCGGGCACCGGTCAGTCCTGTCCTCGTGCCCGAATCCAATTATCCATTAGAAAACGTTCATGAGCTTGATGAGCAGAAGTATTTAGAAATTATAGTTAGTCAACCAACACCCCCTCCGCATGACCTTTTGATCAGTCTTGAGACCCACATGATTTTCAAACATTTGGCAATATTAAAATTTTATTATCCTGGTATGGTTATTAAACCATCAAAGAATCCGGTTGTTTTGATTTTTTTTTCATGAAGATTAATTTTTTTATTAATATATTTCTTATATATTTTAGAAAACTACAGTTTTTTAACTAAATTATTGTTTATATTAAATAAACATAAATACCAGGTATGATATTATGTGATAGTTTAATTTATTTACAAATGTATACTAGAAATTATAATATACATTAAAATATTTAAATATTTCACTTTAGCAATCTATAATAACCATCAAATTTTTTTTTCAACTTTAGTCCTTAGGCTTTTTTTTTATTGGAGCCTTCTACAACCAATTTAATGATTAATTTGTTAAAAATTATTCAAGAAAAACAAAATTCAACCAAAGAGGACTAGTGTTAAACAAAGAGAGATCTCATGGCCACTCTCAAATATGGATAAGAAAGTTAGTTTTAATCCACTGACTTTTCCTTTTCTTCCTTGTAGTTTATAATTTTTTATTTATTCAAAAATTCATTTTGTTTATTTTCAGTTTCCAAAGTTTAAAAGAAGTGAAAAGCCTAGAAAGTTCCTTACTACATTTTAATTTTAATATCAATGAATTTCATTTAATAAGAATAGTTTGACAAAAAAGTTTTTAAACCTTCAAGTTGAAAATATATACCAGTGCGGAGAGAATTTTTTTTAATTTAATTGTGATTTTAAAGCAATTTAAAGAAGTTTTAACTTAAGAGAGCAATTCATTTAGATGCTAAGGATGTTTATTAGGTTTTTTAAGGTTAAAATAGATAAAATAAATTTTTATAGCAAAAAAAACCCTAGCCTTTGACCGCTTTTTTGGTGGCTAAAATGCAAGTGCAATCAAACAACATGCATAACTTCGTTTTTTAAAAAAGGAATAGATGACTTCGTAGACGAGCCTGAGCTTTGATTTAAAGGTTCAAAATCACAATTTATTTTTATTATTATACAATTAAATAAAAAATAAATTCATTAACTAAATCAGAATTATAATAAGCTAGATCATGAAACTTGATAACATTATCAAAAAGTTGTTCATAATCTTGGTAGTGTTTTTATACTAAAAAATTCTGTCCCACAAGATATCAAACATCGATCATCTACTACATGACTAATAATTATTTCATAAGAAGACACGTCGATTGGAACTGTTGACCAAGGCACTTCATGCCAGCTCCACTTCAGCAAGTTGATTCAAGTAACTAACTAAAAATCGGTTTCAACGACAAGAAAACATGACTTAGAACAGGTACCTTGGAGGATCTTTTTAATATATGACATTTCTCCATGCATAATGATTATGCTCTGAAGATGGATAGTAGTCAATATAGCAGATTCAAGAAACCCTAGATGCCCCATCAATGCCCAAAACCTGTTAGCAAGAAAAGATTTCACTTTTCTAAGATGGAAAGATCATATTTCTGTACTTCTGATCTCCCTTAAAAAAGATGAAGAGATATCTTCAGCTTGTTCTGTCTCCATTTTGGAAGCTCATAAAATGCTTTTTTCCGCATTCCAAACTTCTCTTGAAACTCCTCGTCGCATAAGTATCCCTAAATTCAGAAACTGAAATTAGCTGCTGAATAGAACTGATATTCAATTGCACCACAGCAATGCAATGGCAAACATAGCAGAATCATATCCTAAAAAATAGCCACTCAAAATCTTCATTTGGTATTATCATTGAAAAAAAACTCTTTGAAATTTTTTACACGGCATTCTCAATATAGCCACAATGCCCCTGAAGTGAATTCAAATTGTAGCAGCTAATTTTATAGTCAAATGGTGTGCTGTAACGATAAATGGAGAAGGTTTAGACGAAAACAAAATGGCTACCTCTCTTTTGGTTACATCTATGTCCGTTACTGGATCACTTGAATTCACTTTCAATCGCTCATAAGGATAGATCACTGAGTTCTCACTAGCATCATTGCCATCAACCTGAGCTAAAACTGCAGCCTGAGAAGGGGATTCTGCCTCTGCTTTTGGAGAACCTGAAATGACCAACAATGAAGTTTTAATAAAAATTTCAATCAGAACATGTCATCAACTTTGCAAGAGTAAAAAGCCAGCATCCCGCAGGATTGTATCCTTCTCCATGTTTCATTCATTCTGAAGTTCGTCATTCTTCCACCAGGTCATGCAATAGGATGACCAGGTCAAAATCCACAAAATTTTGTATGTTAATCATGTCAAATTTCCATTCTGTCATAAACATTTGGTGGCATAATCTATTCAATCTGATATGCATTTAATTAGCAATTATCCTTTGTTGATAGTTATTTGATCCAATGACTACAACTGTGCATGCCAAGGTTTCACTGTTATTAAGGGTGGGGGGACTAAAATTTTGTCACTGCATTCCATATTAACAAATTGAATGATTCTTTATTACCAGCACTGTCATGAAAGGGGGATCCAGGAAAGAGCTTTCTTGCTGTTGGAGCTGGGGTGGAGATTTGGTAGTTGGTTGAAGAATTAAAGTGCGTGACTGAAGCACTGGATACTGGAGATGTACTATTTCTCCCATTTGAACTTACAGACTTGCTTCTTAAACCATCTGGAGTTGTCTCCTTGGGGGATGCTTTCCATGATTTACTTGTATGAACCTGCACAGAAAATAAAATGAAGCATGAATAAATTTAACCTTATATCACAATCAAAGAGGCCAAATGCTGTCCAGAACCTAATGTGCAAAAACAAATCTGATATCTATAAATACAAGGTTAAAAACCTCACTACTATCTTTTTCCACAACATCATCAACATTGCCTTCATCATCTCAAGCTAATAATAATGCATCCCACATGAAATGAAATGAGATTACATTGGGATAAAACAGTATGGCCGGATTGAGCCTGAAGCAAGAATCAGTTAAATGCATGCCATATCAATCCACATTGAAATTCTTAGGCTATATATTCCATTGAAAAGTTATTGAGCAATTCTCATTGGTCATTATTGATAAAGGAATATTTGGGCCAGTGACATTCTTTGGCTACTTAAGCATTTTACTAGAGCTTTCAGAGCCAGGAAATGCACCCATCCAAATGCACAAGACAAGTATTGCAAAGTAAGATACCACACTTACTTCAAGATTTTGCTTCTTTCCTTTCAGAATAGCGAGCCTTCGTTCAAAGGAGTTTCCATGCATCTACAAGGTCCACAACCATGTTAAAATCGTTAACTAAAGTTCATTATGAATATATCACAAGGAAATTTCATTGCTATCTTCTAGTTTCCTTGACGTTCACCATGTACTTCAAAATGTGAGCATGTCTAGTCATACAGTAATAAAAAAAGAGACTGGGAAGAAACTGGGGGTGTATAATAAAAAAAGAGACTGGGAAGAAACTAGGGCTGTATGTTTCTTTGTTTATGGAGAACGTTTACTGGCTGCATTTTTGACAGTGATTGAATCCCCACCACTCCCCCAATACACAAATGCATCACCTTAACTTCAGAAGACAATTTATATCTCCCACTACCATTTTCGAGTTATGATACTTCCCATATAACACCATTAATGTTAGGAAAATTGTATTTGCTAGAACATCAGGAATTATCAACGCATTCAGTTGTCATCTGCAACATATGCCACATCTAGATCCACTTACATTTGCCTTTGACGAATCCCACTCAAAGAAGCGAGTGAAGAAAAGTGGCTCCCGCCCCCCCGTAATGACATAAATAGGAGTCTCGGAAGATAGTCCTTCAACCAGCGGGTCTGTCTGAAGGAATTTCTGCCAGTTTCAAGTGAAACTATGAGAAGAAATACACACACAGATGCAGATAGAGGTGAAAACTGAAGAACGTCAGGTTTATTCTTAGCTAATCAATGCACTTGAATCCATGTCATGTATTGGACTATAAGTGGCTTATAAAAAGCCATCACACATGAGACCATTAAACAATAGCTGGAACCTTAAAACAATTCATGCCATATGAACCATCAGATTTTCTCGTACATAATTTGAATAGTTGAATTGAAGTGTTAAGGTCCATGTTTCATAAAGTGATTCAGAAAATAAGCAACTCATACTGTTAAATAAAGATACCTGTGTCCAGGAAAATAACTTGAAACAAGTTAAAACAAATAAGTTACCATGCCAAGCAAGATGGCTTGCTGCTTTGATTTGATGTTTGAATGGCTTCCAATCCAAACATGTATTTCCTCGTGGCAGTCAAGTATTAA